TCTGAAGTAGCAGCCGTTCTTGAAAAGAAGTTTTCAATGGGACTAAGGCACTGGTTTTCGATTTATTTTATAAGTATTAAATTATATTCTTTTATTTTTAAATTATTTCAACAGTCTAACTAAGATTCAGGGAGGGGTGCACTGGCAATCCGGATCGATCTTGCATGACAAGTCGTAAACAACCTGTGGGTAGGGTCAAATTTTGTGTAGTTATCCTCCTGGTTTTCATGACGAATTCTGTTTCACAGCCAAGATCGTGGCTGCAATAAACAACTTTATCAGATTTAGGTTTTCAGTTAGGCAGCCTGTGGCTAAATAGTATTTTAGCACGTTCAGCGAATATTGGCTAAAAAAATACCTGGCTCACTTCGAATGATACGTTAGAAACAGTACGCCGCTGAGCAGCGAAGGAATAAAAATTTCTTACCGGAGAAACGTTAGCAATCAACGGACGATGAACGGAGAGGAGAGCCGGCTGCACAATGAAACTGAGGTCGAAAGGCCATGAGCTAAACTTCAGAAGTCCAACACTGCCATTCGTCGTTGCGACTTCAGGAAACGCCAGCACTGGACAGTTCGTTGCTAAATAACGAAAAATTTAAAACAACAATGTCCTTCACTGTAGCATGGGGCACCAAAAGCTATACTTCAGTATTAGAGATTGCCGCAAACGGTTATCCTCCAAATCCCATCATTATTCTTTAGATAACATATATATGCTCCAACCTGTAATACTTCATGCCATTAAACAGTATGTTGGGGACAGGGTGTGGAGCAGTGATGGCTAGCAAACATTCTAAAGCGTGAAATCTACCATGTCTATCGAAGGGGATCATGCAACTGTAAGCAGCTTACGGAAGAATATGTCGAACTGCAAAAACGGAACCTTGATTCCAGTCAGACAGAGACAGCTTAAATGCAACAATCATCGATCGTTCCGCAATTTGTCGGGCACACTTTGATACGACGGAAACCAATGCACTGAGATCTTGATTCAATGTGCTTAGAGTAGAGGGCGGACTAAATCTGCATACAGCAACTACCAGTCAATAGGAAAGAGTACCACTTCCATTAGCCACAAACAACGACTTAAAGATTAATAAATATCGTCAAGTTAGTTCATTACTGAATGAAAAATAAAACCTTTGTGACACTCTTTGAGGTCATTGACGAACTCCTGGCTACCCTCCCTTGAGTTGATGTCAGTGAAGCCAAATCCTTGGGCTAACGATGACGGGAATTCGTAGAGTCGTGGCTGAAATTAAGTGTAAAATAATCGAATTTATCGCTTTAAGCTTCAATTGGCAGACTTACAATGAGGTATGGTCGTAACAAGCAAAAAGCGTGGTGATCCAACGGTGTCACGTGATTTGAGACGACGACGAGAGCGGCATTGCTCAATCTGGTCGTCCGTTCTTCCTCAGCAACTACGATACCCAGGACGGCACACATCGGTCGCAGCACCCACCTGAAAACTAGTTTTACTAAATGGAGCAACAAATTAAAATTAATACTTTAAATTTAACACTATTAAAAATGCAGAAATAACTGAGCATACTATACGAACTGCCTTTCAATGCTAAACTTTTCGTTAAAATTCAAGATGGTAGGCACAGACTAAATTACAGATATCATAGAAAGTTTAAGAGCACAAAATGTACTCTCCTGAACTTTTAAAACGGTGATGACCCGTCATGACTTTACAGACTGGATTTTCAACCAAAACCATACCGAGTCTTAAAAAATGTAGAGCAGTGTCGAGCTCCATTCCTTACTAGTTAAGCTTTTATTCCATTCAGGTATCACCTTCTAAAAATGCCTGTGTAAAGGGAAACGAGAAGACCGTGGATCAGTAACAGTACTGTACGTGATTTAACAGAAGGTCACCAAAGAACTCCAAAGCCACTTCTTTTCCACCGGTGGTGAAATAAAGAGTAATGAAAATCGATAACTACGAATACGCTATAAATCGTTCTATCAGCAGTGCAAAAAATATGCTAATTTTTTTGCATAATCACATTTATATATAAATCAGAATGAAAAAACAGAGTTAATGGTGCATCGAACAGATTATCTCATTTGAGCTTTTTGCATCAGGCGGCAGGTGCTAGAATACCATTGAGCCGTGATGCCATTCACATACCAGACAAGATGCTCTAAAGAAATATGTTGGATCAAGGTGGATAAAACTCACACAAACCAAAAGTTTACGGCAATCTTCCAGAGACATTCATCCAGTAGTATATCGAAAATGGCTAATGCTGATGGAGATTATGATCCATATAATCACAGTGTGAGAGAGTGAAATAATATTTTTACTTACGAACGCCATTTTAACGATTTTGGAAGCAGATATGAGACGAACAGAACATGAAGAGCGACGAAGAACCGGAGCAACACCAAAACGCAACCAAAAGGGAAATATAAACACAAACTGACGTACTGCCACCCACTGGGTATCCTGAAACAAAAAAACCTCATTTTATAGAAACTATGCAACAGTTAATATCATCATTATCCATTAACGAAATAAAATGCTAACATTACAACAAATACCAAATAAGAATAGCAAAATAGAAGGGAGTCAACTACAGAAAACTCTCTTAAAGAACGCTGTCATAAGTCTATCATATGAAGGTTAATAACTGAATAAGGAAACTTATATCTTCATTGTGGAGCGAACGAATAAACGTAAAAAGTCAGTCAGTTTCGACGACCGATAATTTCTGGTCAGAGATACAGTAGTGTCAGGCAATGCCTGCAACATTCGCAATCCTGCGCTAGCAAAGACCATTGAAGTACTTATGCCAGGTCATTCTTGACATCTCCGAGGTCTTCTGCAGATCGGCTGAACAAATAGTAGCTGTTGCGCCTTCTTTTCTAGAAGCATTCACAAGTCGTGCCAAAACATAGCAGCTGTGACTCCTGAAGACGAAAAAGCAGCAGCTGTATCAAGAATTTCCCGGATCTCTGAGATCCGGACTAAGCCGAGCGATTCGTCTCAAGAAGCCCATTTCAGGAGCTTGCAGCTCGGATCGAACTTTTTAAGTAATGGTCCATGACTCATTATTAAAGTGAAAAGACGTTGTGGCATAACCAAAAAATACAGAAAAAAAAGACTCGAAATGCCATAAGCAAAACGATGCTAGTAAATTTTGTAAAAGGTAGAACCTACGACTATTTCTTGAGGTTCATCATCTCAAACTGTCAACTTAGTAAATAAAAATAAACTGGAACCGGCAATCACTTGAAAAAATCTAATGATCAGCAACCACGCGCCACTGAAAGTAGTTCCGGACACTGCTGGACAGCGGACCCGAGAACAGACCACGTAAAAGGGATCAAAAGAAGCCCAGAACTTGTACCTTAAGGCCCTGCGACCTGAGTACAACGTCACTAATTGTAAGAACAAAATACAACAGAGCGTAGGTCATTACCTTCATTGTCCTTGTTTACAGTTCTTATGTACTGCCCTAACAGTTGCTTCCAAGTGCTGCGTCAAAATATTCCGAACATTATTCCCCAAATCCATAAATGCCGCATTTACTACAGGACAAATTAAAGACATGAACACGAGTCCAGTTATGAAACTCTCATCCACAAAAGAGTCAGTTTTTTTAACTCATTCAATAAATATAGCTATTTTTTCTTTTCTTACATGATTACGTAAGAATTTCAATTTTAACATGCCAGAAACCATTTTCAAAGAATATGACAGCTACAGTAAAATTCCCTCATTTTGTTCGCTGGTAACGCATTCTGCAAGCTGATTGAAGCGTTATAGGAAAAATTCCTGATTTCATGATCGGAAACCATTTTCATTTAATGAAGACTGATTCTCATATGCGGAAACTCGAAAATCAAAACTACCCAATTAAAAAACTCTAACGGTAGAAGAGGGTGATTGATTTTTGTACTCGACTCAATCATCTCCAGCTGAGGCATTCTTCATCAAAAATTAAATAATAGGATTCCCCTTATCTCAAGGGCTTTCGGAAACCTGTTTCAAAGGGTCGAAAAAACGGTATTTCTTTACACAACAAGCTTTCTCTACTTTGCCTTTGTCAGGCCAATGTTGCTGTATGGCATTAAAACATATTCTAACTAAAGAATAGGAACGACGGTTGAAACGTGTACAACATTTCTCCGACGCACCATAATGATTAAATATGAGGACTACCTAAGGAATGAATGAATGACTGTATCCAGCGTAATGAAGGCCTCAGTAGACCTGTGATTAAAAACAAAATTTGTTTGCCTTGTTAGACAAACTGGTTGAGTTAACAAATCATTTACTTCAGTCTGTGTGGGAGACGTCAAACACGAGACCAGCACACAAACTGGAGAAATAAGGTAGTAACAATCTACTACCGGAAAATAATATTTGCTTCTAAACTACAGCACCCACCACCTTACTGCAAATGTTGTAATACTACGAATTCATGCAAATAATGATCACATAAACAAACAGGAATAAGGGATCAAATGAAACACGGGATCACAAAGTTCACGGGAAAAAGAAGTAGAATATATGTTAATGAAATTAATCACAACTGATCAGTGAGCATTTCAAGTTATGCATGGTCATGCACCGCTGATGAAGTTTGCTACCTGTGATAATTGAATAGAGAGTCTATCGACGCGAGACGCGGGGTTTGGACGGAGTTTGGATCGTCTGTACCGTTCATCCTTGTCCGGTTCGCTGTATTTATAGAACAAACATGTCTTTTGAGAACGTTCGTAAATACACACGGAATTCAAGCACAAATCATATGTCACGAACGCATATTTTGTTGGTGGCTGGGAAACACGATCTACCAATATATCGATTGGAAACAATCAATAGAACATGATCGTCAAATTACAGTAAACACAATTCATAATGAAAACTAAGAAGTGAAATGCATGAATGAATGAAAACTATAATGAAAGCAGAATTTTATTTCTGTGACGCAAATAAGTTAACTATAAGTCAATCTTAATTTTTTTACGAATTATGACGCAATTTTTTTCACTGTAGCCAATCAATAACGACGATAGATGCCTACCAATAAATTCACGTCACGCAACTTCTGCGGCTTCCATCTCGTCTGTATTTCCAATTTCAAGGGTACTATTCCGCTCGGTAAGTAGTTTATTTTCATATATGCACTGCGCTGCTTCGTTATTTATCTCATTTTTCATTTCTTCGCTTCACTTTCTCTGGCCACTTCTCCTTTCTGGTCTCTGAGGCAGACGCGACAAATAATGCCACCAACGTTCCCAATCCTTTGCCAGAGTCTGAGCTTCGGCAGAAGACAGCCGCAGTCTAGAGCAGATTCATACATTACACTTGCACCGGGTTAATCTTGGCAGTTCCCTGGATCTTCTTACGTTCGGATGGGTAAATGGTGGCAGTTTCGCCTTCCATTCTAGAGGCATTTGCAACACGTACCCAAACCATCGCAACTGTGACTTATCATTCTAAAGAAGAAGCAGC